CCTCTGCGGGCAGGGCAGCCTGGCAGGGGCTTGCAATCGCTGAGCTCCAGGCTGCTCTGCTCATCCGAGTGTGCCAACAATACTACCATTATCTGAGCACCCGATGGGGAAAGGTTGGGGAGCACTACTTTAAGTTCACGCCTTTCTTCAGAAAGAAAATGCAAGGTCTGGAGCAGAAGTGACCTGCTGAGCCCTTCCGCAGACTTGTGGCAGGGAATGCCCTGGACCCTGGGCCTCCCCGACCTAGTCATTTCCTCATTTATCTTGTCAACATCCTTGTCCCACAGAGTGTCAAGTCCATTACGTAAAGATTTTCTGCTAAGAAGATACTTAATGTGAGCCCAGGGAGCAGCAGGGGCCGGACTGAAATGAGGATGTCTGACCTTCAACCCTCAGGGAGTAAGCCAAAGCTGCTTCTTTACTGGAGTTACCCCCAATGGCTCCCACCCACGTGCAGTACACAGCTGGTACCTGAGCTACTGTAGGGTGGGGAAAGGGTATGCCAGAGCCGCCAGGGCATCCCCACCAGAGCATCCACATGCCAACGACATCTTCCACCTGCATCTGTGCCCCCGAGCACTGTCTCAGAGGAGTGGTCCAGGGTGGATTTCTACCCAGAACGAACCAGAAAGTGTAAGAAGCAGAACGTGTGCTGGGAGAGACCTCAGTCAACCCCTCACCCAGGGCAGCCCTGTCGGATGGGCAAGGCCTATAGCTTGACCACAGTGCCCGCAGGCAAGCCAGACGACAAGCTACCGATCCCCACACCTCTGCTCTTACCCCACTGGGGGCTTTGATGGTGACAGCCCAGCCAGGGAGCTCAACGCACAGACCATCTTTGCAGCCTCCGTGCCATTCGCCACCACCAGGCCCTGGGGCATGTCCAAATGGTCACCCTTTAGCCAGTGTCTCCCTTCTCACGGGTGTCCAGGGTTTCTCTCACCAGGCACATGCATAATGTCCCGTCTCAATCCCTGAAGCATGTATTCTCAACAGGAGAGGGTGGTGTCACCCTCACGGAAACAAAAATTGGTTCCTGGTTTGGCAAAAACAAAATAGACATTACAGTGGTTTGTGGCCCTCCAGAACTCAACCCTCTCTGACAACACTTTATTTCTTGGCACTTGCTATGGACTAAACTGTGCCCCTCAAAGAGCAGTAACCCCCAATGTGACTGTGCTTGGAGAGAAGGCTTTCAGGAGGTAGTTAAGGTTGAGTGAGGTTATAAGGGTGGGGTTCTAATCTGAGAGGACTGTGGCCTTATAACAAGAGATCTCTCTCTCTCTCTCTTCCACTCACCCCCAACTACTTTCCTGTCCCACCCCACCCTGAGAGGACACAGTGACAAGGTGGCCATCGCAAGTCAGAGAGAGAGCTCTCACCAGAAACCAAGCCCTGCCCAACCTTGATCTTGACCTTCCAGCCTCCAGCGCTGTAAGATAATACATTCATATTGTTTAAGCTGCTCAGTCTATGCTATTCTGTTATGGCAGCCCAAGCAGACTGAGTATTTCCCCAGTTAGAGAGAATTAATGTTTCTCCTTAGGCGGTAATAATGGGGAAACGTTTGAGCAGCACTGTCCTAGAGAATTCTCCATTCGGAAGGGCTTGAGGGCTCACAGGTCTTTTGTGTCACAGTTTAGAGCACTGCTTCTCAACTGGCAGCAAATGTGTCCCAGGCCATGTCTGGAGATATTTGGGGTTTTCACGCTTGGGGAAGGGGTGCTACTGGCATCCCTTGGCAGAGGCCGGGGACGCTGGTCAACATCCTGAATGCACAGGGTGGGTTCCTCCCACAAGATCTACCCAGGCCCACGTACCAGCAGTGGTGCTGGTGAGGAGCCCTGGCTTAGAGCAAGGACACCCCAGAAGGCTTCAAATCCTGCCTCAAAACCAGCTGGAAAACAGGGGCCCGGGCACAGGATCCCAGGGAACAAGCCCACCCTCCACCTTCTAGCACCAGGTGACCAGGAGAGCTCACCCCAGCCCCACAGAGCAGTTCCAAGACCAGAAGCCACCCCCCGGTGCCCAAGCAGGGTCAGACTGCCCTCGGCCCACTGGGCCCCCAAATGGCAGAAGGAACAACAAGGTCAAGAAGAAAGGACCAGAAAGCTTATCAGGTTCCTACACGTGAACCTGAGTGGGTAGGAGCTCACTATGTGGGAGCAAAGCTGGAGTTGAACTTGGTCCTTCTCCCGCCCTGGGGCTCAGCCCTTCCTCAGAGGTCCCTCAGTGGGGTGCAAGGAACGGATCCCTGGGGGGCGGGGAGGGAAACCCACAGCAGAATGGACAGCAGTGACATGAACACCACAACCACAGCCCACGCTTCCTGAAGGCTCACCCAGCAGCACGCTGAGCCCTTAACAACCACTGGCTCCTTCAGACCTTGCAGCCATCTCCAAGGTAGTATGCTCCCCACTGCACAGCTGAGGAGACTGAGGCACAAAGCGCTTGAACAACTAGAACAGAAGAGCAGGGGAACTGCAAGAGGGACCCATCGGGCAAGTCAGGTGACGAAGAGGAGAGTGACAGCAGGTTTCATATCAGAGGCCTGCTGTCTGGCCGGCTCGAGCAAGGCAGTTCCCATAAACACTTTTCTCCATGCAGAACCTGGGGCGGGTGTGCTGCCTCCTTTTACAGATGAGGATCTATCTGATGCTCAGAGCCGGTCAGGGGCTTGCTGGCGCTACAGGCCAGGACCCTGAGCCAGCCCAGGGCGCCACCTGCCGCACCTGGACCAGACGAGAACCGGGAGGCCCCAGCACAGCCCACTTACCTGAGAAGATGGACGCGAGCCTGAAGATGTCGGAGAGGCGGGAGGTCACCTGCTCGTAGGGCGAGGCCTCATAAAACTCCTCCCCTGGAAAAGAGAACATCGTCAGGCCCAGGGCCCCCTCCGAAAGCAAAGGGAGGTCGTGAGTGAAGAGTTGGAGTGTCACAGGGATGAGTTATCTCCTCCAGCTGGAGTGGACATCCCCCAGAGCAGGTCAGACTGCCTAATTCTCTCTCGTGCCCAGGCATGACCTGCCCTCCTCTAAGGACTGCTGAATGCTCTGGAAAGAAGGCCTGGGGAGGTGGAACCATAACAGCCTGGGGAAGGCCAGGTCCCACCATTCAGTACACACCCTCATTTCACAAGGCAGGGCGTGGAGGTGGCCCAGAGAGGTGAAGCACCCTGTCTGCGGTCACACAGCTCCTCGCAGCGGCAGCTGGCCTGCCATCTCCCGGCCCTCCCACCAGTGTCCTCTCCCATCGCACCTCTGCTCCCCACCATGACGCCGGGAGAATCTGGCTGGAGGGCCCAAGGTCTGCTGAATGGAGGCCTGACCCCAGCTCCTCTTGGCCTGACCCCCTCCTCGACTCCCTACATATCTGCCCACCACCTGCTGGCTTCTCAGACCTTCGGGTGCGTTAGAAGCTCAGCGAAAGGCAAGGCAAGGGAGTGACAGGAGATAAGTGGCACAGGGCTGCCCTACAGACCCCCTACCACGTCATCAGACTCCTGCCCCCTCTGCCACCGCCTTGACGGGAAGGAAATATCCTCTTGAGATGTTACCGTGAGAAGAAATCAATGAATAATCACTCGGGCTGTTCATGTGAGTGGAGGGCCAGGGAGATAGTGATGACCCACAGCCTCACACCGTGAGCTCCCACCCACCCAGGGACCTGGGCTATGGACAGGCTCCTCCTTCCTAAGGGGACCCCAGGTGGGCAGCATCCATGGGGGCCTCCTGCAGGAAGGTGCCTGCCATCCAGACGGGGAATCCTCGGTGAGGGGCTCGGTCAGCCAGCCCATGAGGTCACCCTAGAGGCGTAACCAGCCCCTGCTGGTATGGAACAAAGCCTCCTGTCTGCTGTACTGCAGCTCCAGAAAAGGGGACCCACCACAGACAACACGGGAAGTGCATCCCCCCTAGAGAAATGGCCCCAACCTTCACTTTACCTCACGGGAGCACCCCTCAGGCCCTGCAACACCCAAATGTTACTTGTCCCTTCAGGCCTGTCTCCAGCCCCACCTTCCCCCTGGGGCCTCCACTCTACCCACCAGCCCTGGAGAAACTCCCTGGGGGAGGGTTGCCAGCCAGTGCTAGCTGTTGAGGCCAAATGAAGTAAGAGCTTAGGAAGTATTTTGTAATAAAAATGACGTTAATGTTATCCTGTGCTTTCCACGTGCCAATCCTACTGGAAGTGGATGTACTAACTCATGTAGTCCTCTTAAATTTATCTATGGGGTAGGCACCATCAGTCTCTCTATTTTACTGATAAGGAACCGGGGCACAGAGCTGTTAAGTAACTTGCCCAAGGCCACACAGCTGGTAAGTGGCAAAGTCAAACTTCAAACCCAAGCAGTTGGTGACAGGGTCCAAGTATTTAATCATTATGAATGCTGTCCCCAAAAATAAAGTGTTATTGAAACCAAGCTGTTCTTAAACAGGATCCGTCTCCCACCAGCTGGCCTGCTCCCCCAGAGCAGGGCCTGTCCTTCATAGCTGCATGGGGTGCAGCGCCACACCTGGGCACAGCTCAGCCAGATGATTCGCTGGGAGAGTAGGAGGTGGGGGAGCGGGGGGAGGGAACGGCCTATTCCCAGGACTGGCTGGGGGGGGTCCAGTCTGCTGAGGGGC